ACGCCTCTAATAGAAGTTTTCAAGATGGAAATTTTAGATTAAAAAAAAATCAGTGTTGCCAATAAATGGAATGTAACATTTAAGGAAAAACACAGCATCCGCCCTAAACTCATGGGATTAGCTATGCTTCAGCAACTTCGCTATATTTGTTGCTGCCCTGAGGCAACTGCGGGCAAAAAAGGGCTAAAGCTATTTGAAGATCTAGAGCTATCTGAAGAGCTAGACATTAGAAAAAATCTTGGCATGTTTGTTCTCAATTTTCTATGAAAGAAACACCATACAAATTTCTGACCTTTTTGCCATTTATTTGTAATATTTAAATGTAACGTTATATTTTTAAGTTAGAAATAGTCAAATTGACTATAGAAAACAATGAATATTTCTTGCGATCTCGGTGGATGTCTATGATTGAATCTACCCAGATGTTATTAGTCAAAAGTTCATGTTAGAAAAATGAGAAATGACGTCAATTATCATTATACCTTTCCTGACTTCAAGTGGACAATTATCATTAGTAAAGCACACAAAATTTGTCAGGCATACACGTTAAATTTTCCAGCCTTGATTATTGTTAGAAATATCAGACATGTTATTATACATATCAATTGTTATTTAATTTTCAAAATCAGTTATAAAAAGGCGTTTTATTTTCAAACTTTGTTGAGTTGTCACATTGTTATTCGAAGATTTTTCAAAATAACGATAAAATGAACCGCTTTGCTGAAACCAGTTGCCATTTATGTCTCGGGGTGGTGATCTATGTAGGCGGGTCCGTTACCACAGGCGTTACCCGCCAGGAAAACAAATCTCGAAAGATGGATTTTCGTACGGTCGATGGTAGATTTGACTCGCTCCAACATGCTGAAATAAGCAATACCGTAACGGCTAGTTGATTTTCTTCAGAGGAGAATAAGCAGCCTGGTCAAAACTGATTATTCCTGGTCCGCCGATTCTCGCCTCAGCATTGAATCACCTTTGAAAGCCTGCGCCACTTTTCTGTATGCCGGCTTTTGTCGAAAAACTGTAAAGTAACGCATTGCAAAACCTGCAAAACCCAGTTTTGCTCACAAGTCAAAAGTTAAAAAGAAATACTAACTTTACTATAGAAATTTCACGAAAAATTCATCATCATTTTGATGATCTTTTTATTTTTTTCTTTATTCTAGAAGATTAGATTTTTTTTAAAAGAAAAACAAATCGTTACCAAAGGCACCTTGAACAATTATTAACCTTTGAAGGTTCTTTCACAATCTAGCCCTGTGATTACCACGGGGGTGTAGAAACAGTTTAATTCCTAATGATCTCCACAAGGTCAAAATTATTAATTTTTCAATACGTATAAGGATAAAACCTGGCTACAAATTAGTTTAACTGATGGAGGTCAATATATTGACCTAACGGAAGTGGTATAAAGTTTATGATTGAAAAAATAAAACGTGATGGCAATATGAACGCTGAACACCTTTATGGTCAATTAAAATGTTTTCATCCAGTAAACGTAATTGAAAAGTAAATATTGACTTTACAACCAAATAAACCGATTATTAACATTTTCTGATACTACGGCCTTAGAGCTTTCTGTATTCAAATAAAGGAAAGGAAGAAAGGAATGCCACGTGCGTCCTTGGTCCACTTAAAAAAAAGCTTAGGTTTATTAACAATAACCTCTCATATGAAATAGAAACATCGGAAAACATATATTTATTTTTGTTCTTTCTATCTAAAACAGAGAAAATATTATTATTAAAAAATTATAATAAAGCCCTACTAAATCAACAGATTCTTTGATATAGTATAGCTTTAATAATTAGTTTTTCAATTAATTGATCTTTATATAAGGTATTGGGTGAGATAAAAAAGTCAGTCGCGAGCGGGATTCGAACCCACGACCTTCGGCTAAATACGCCGCTGCTCTACCACTTGAGCTATCGTGACTTCAATCCACTCGGACACCAACTTCCCATCTCAATTCTACCTTTCGAATTTTCCCTCCTTTAATATTTAATCCCTTTAATATTTAGCCCAACTTCCGAACTTAAAACATCGCGATTCGACCGGAAAAACTTGCAATAAAAAACATATTAAAAAACTGCCACTTTCGGAAGTTTGGCTGGATTGGAAGGGAAGTCTTGCGCTTCCAGAGCACAGCCGATACGCGGTACTCGGAGGAAGGGTCATCCTCACCAGATTAAAAATAGGCCATGCGAGGTTGACACGCGGACACTTACTTAGACATAGCCTCAATGCAGTGAAAGGTAGCTCGATGTAGACCCACCCAATTGAAGGGTGCAATTCGTTGGCTCCGTATAGAGAGCGTGTAGCAATGCTACCCGATATGGAAACTTGGACGCAGGTGCGGGTTTCTGGGCCTCCTATTCCGATGTTTGGAGGAAACAGGATGGCCTTACTGAATGTAGTAGAAGGAAAAATATCAACTACTCCATCACCTTAATTGAATAAATTGTTATGTAGTAAATTTGAATGGATTTGGATTTAGGAAATGATTGCGTTGGGGGCTGAAGTGACCTCGGGCTGGACGGATTAGACCGAGGTCTAGTCCCAGGCTTCCAACCCTCGGGGTGTTTATTCTCAGGAATGCTGGTGATTTATTGTAAATTACAAAAGCTGGTATAGCCGGTGGACTGCAAGAAGTGTTAGGCTCAACTCTGTACAAGCATGTATCTATGCCCATGCGTTTGCAGATTTGAGCTTTTATAAATCAGCAATCAGTAATCAGATCCTTTGTTGTCAAGAACTATTGTATAAACACCTTAACTTCATATACTTATGTAATAGAATTAATCGAGAAAATTTAAAGAATAAATCTTATTCTGTTTGTAGTCTCATACATACTCAAAAAGCTGTTGTCATCAGCCCGAGGTGTATTCTGACAGCCTTTCTTATTCTTCATGAAATACGACTTCCATTACTTCTTTTCATCCCACACCTTTATTTCTGTCGGAAATTTTTCACTCGTACTTTCGCCAATTTGTATTAAACCAAGTTCTTTTATTCCATTTGAGGTTTTTTAAATGATTACATTCAGGGTTTTTCATTATCCTACCAGCCTCGCCAAAAAGAAAATGAGTAAAAATTGAAATTTTTAGAGTTTTTCTTTTATTCTTTGCTATACATATCTTTGAATGATACGTCAGGTTGAAGGATGTGGGATCACCGATTTCAATGTGACTTTTTTGGTGAACTAGATCGGCAAATATTAGAGTCATATTCGAGCATTTTTGTCAACAATCTCTAGGCGTCGAGAAAAAAAAATTAAAACAATTTACATTTTTCTTTTTTCAATATGGTTTTCAATCTTTGTTTTGCATTATTTCAAGATTATTATACATATCAGTCGATTTATTATTTTACATAGAATATAAATACATATAATATGCAAGATTGGAAAACATGATCGTAGATACATCTATAATTTTTTTTCAAAACTTTTTTAACAAATTCATAATTGTTTTAAACACCGGCCAAAGCTCATAAATACGATTTTTATACCAGACAAAAAAATTGATGACTAGATCAGCCGGGCTTACATTTTTGCGCTTTTTGCTTTATTACAAGCGTTGGAGAGGTGCATGATTTCAGCCTATATCAGCACCGTTTAAATTTTATGCCATTCTAATTGAGATTGATACAATATGTGTATTTAATATGATTCTAAACCCTTAAAATGGTTATCTTTTAGAAGAGTTGTTTTAAAGGCATCACAATTTTTGCGAAATTTTGATTTAAAAAAAGAAAAGAATCATAGGTATGAAGAAAGAAAAAATTTGTGATTTTTCATTCTATTTTCTCCAAAATGAGGATTCAGGTTTGGTTGGTGAAAACGAAAATCAACTTTGTTTCTTGTTAATAAAAATATGATAACCTATTTTGCTTCGTCGTTTGGTCATTACGTCAACGTTTTGAAAATATGGGTATCAGAGATATAGTAATGAGTAATTTGTACGTTTTCTGTTACTCTTCTAATGTTATATCTTGCTTGCTCACGTCTCCTGTAAAACATTCCGACATTCGTTTAAGACATGATGATTCTTCCTCACTCTTCCTCCAACGTCTCTACTTCAAGTTTTCGGAAGATCCTTTTCTCGTTTTTTATATAAGCGTTAGAAATTTTTAATTAAAAATGAACCAGCCTTAACGATCTTTGTTTTTCATTTTATGTATGACACCTTGTTTTTCATATGCGGCTTCACTTTCTAAAAATAAATTAGCTCTAAAATGTTCAAAAAAAAGGAGCTAAAAGTATCCCACGAATACTCTGGATCACGGTTTGGTCTTGAAGCAAATTCAGTTATTACAGCCAAGCTTTCGACCTATTTTAAGGTCATCAGGGGATAACAATCATAAACATGTCTACAAATTGACATAATTAGGTTGTGTAATGTATGGTACATAAAAGATGCATACAAAAGTTACGAAACAAAAAAATTAATAGATTAATAAGTTGTTGTAAAATAAAATTATGATGCATTTTCTTTTACCCTTACGGATAGCTCTGGCTAAAAGCTGTTACATCATTCAATGTTAATTCTGACATCCTTTCTTCCTTTTCATTAAAAAAACCATTTCCTTCCTTTCACCCACACCTTTATGTCCTGTTAGATTTTTTTTCTCTTGGTTTATCTAATTTAGTGAAATTTCTTTGTAATATGAATTTTAAAAATTGCCCCTCAACGAGTTGCAAGAAGGAAACTAAGAAAGGCTAAGTAGAAGATAATGGAGGTGTACTCTACCTGATACATAGTGCTTTTATTAATTAATCCAAAGCTGAAAGTAAACCGGAAGTCGTGCAAAATACAGCTTTGGAGACACGCGAAACCGGTTTGGCCATTATAGAAAGTCAAACTCTAAAATTGACACCTCGTGCAAAACTGGTGCAGGCAGGAATACGCCTGTTGCCCATCATAAAACAGCAAGTCCGTTTAATAGCTTGAAATCTTGATTTTATCATTGATTTTATGTTTTCCTTTTATTTTTTTTAGAAAACGGAATGGCTTCGCTCCGGCCACATTTCTCGCCCCAGGTCCTAAACGACGCGAGCGACGAGAACACAGACGACGACAGCACGCCACTCACTCACGATTTGTATGGAGGAAGGTGAGTAAATTAAATCGTACATTTTCAATAGAAACGTGCACTCCTGTCCTATTATTATTTTGTCTTGTGTCAGCCCGAAATGTATGACCTGCCAAACTGTGGTCGGTCATATAGTTCACATGTCCATATTAGAATTATGGATGTTTTAAGTCATTACATTATTTTACAGCAGGAACAATAAAAACTGTAAACTATATGAACAAAAGTCTTAATAATTAATTTACGTACTTATAACATAAACTGTAAAAATTACATAAACAATGCAAAAGTACTTATTGCATTATATCTAAATAGTACTTAACATATACTATCTAAATACTACTTACCCCATCAGAGTAGACAACATTTAAAATCTAAAAACATACTTATAGCAACAGATTCCAAGATGACAAATAATATATAAATAATCCTTTTAACATGAGATGTCAAGAGTACTTAAAATAAGATATCTACAGAACACTTGTAGCATTAGTTTGTCACCAGAACATAAAATACAATAAGGTCTTTTTTAAATCATAATAAGCATTTAAAACGTAATATCGAAGAACGATTAATCACATAAATGTAACGAGCACTTATGGTATAATATGGCAATGTATTTTTACATCAAAATGTAAAAAGTTTCTTCAAACAGATATTAAAAGGGTCATTATAAAAACAGATGTAAAGAACATGTAACATAAGATGGAAACAGTATTTACAGTTAATATTTTCAATATACATTAGATGTATGAAGTACTTGGTACATAAGAAACACAAGTGAATGAAATAAGTGAACTTTTTTTTTTAAGTTGTTTATCAAAGATAATAGAAAAATGTTGATTACAAATTGAAGAATAAATAAAATGCAATTAGACAACTCAATCGGCCCCCTAAAATCTAAATATTCATGTAACTATGTGGAATTTGTGCTGAATGAAATTATGAATTATTACAAATCGTCTCTTTAGACAAATATTATACGTTATTGGATGATTTTTTTTTGTAGGATTGTTGATTTAATATTTATTGTTTAGGTGTATACATAGTTAGTTCATCTATACTACCTTTTTTATATCAGAATTTATCACCTATGAGAATAAAGATACATTGCAAAAAGGCTTAAAAGCTTTTAATTGAACTAAAGAAAGTATTGGCTGTTTTGCAAGTTGAGCTTGCTCCACATTGTGTTTTGTAGTCACCAATTCGATAGAGATGTTGAAAATCGAAATACTGATAATGTAGATGACCGCCTGCACATTTTTTGCTATTTATGTAGTAAACTTCATAGAAATGAAAGGTGCTATCGTCTTGCTTCACCCAACTTATTTCCTTGATATCCCGAACTATAGAGGGCTTTTTTCTTTCTTAAATGGAACTGCATTATTTTACAATTAGGTGGACGTGGATATTAAATTCAAATGCTGGCTGAAATAACAGTAACACGAAAAAGAACTGATTGTTTGGTTTTAATGGTTAAAATTATTTTACAAGTATTGCAACAAGTTTACAAAACATAGATTGACAATCGTCAATTGACTCTTGCATTACGAGAAATTTACAATTGACGTGCAACTTGCAAGTCTGTCGTGAACGAGAGGTCAGTCCGCATTACAACACTTGACAAGTTGGAATAATCATAGAAAATTGCCAAAGGATTCAACCAAAGGATTCGAACCCATCAAAATCCAATTAAGACACGTAACTGCTGCGACCCAACATGTACAGTAATACATGGATTTACATTAACGTGACTACACATCAAGACCAGTGCCCTTAATGCGGTCCGAACTAGTTATAACGACGTAGAAAGTTCGAAACGCAGAAGTGCCCAAAGGATTAGGGGAAAAGTAGGTAATTTTAAAACGCAAAACTGCAACTGAAGACAGTGAAATGTTTCAGCAGCGAGGATGTGCAGTCCAAGATCGGTGATGATCGTTTCATAATATTAATTGTCTTGAAAGTCCCTTGTGTTCGTTTTCTGTTCATAAAGAAACAATTTCAATATCGCTAATTGTCTGAGGCACCGGAATGCCGCAAAGAGTGAATCCTCTTTACAAAAGTACGAAGCAATGAAGAAGAGTCAATGACACAACTCAATCAATCTGCGATTCAGAAAAGCACAATCCTCAGACAATTAACACCGGCTGGGACACAGAAAGATACTAATTAAGTTAAACAATGCGGCATTTATTGAATCTCGAGGGTATCGTCTGTGAGATCGGCCCTCGGGTCGCGAAGAGCTGAGATAGCCGAGAGCATTATTTTATTTAAACATAGCGCGTAGACCGTTCCTTACAGGGCATGAATAATGAACATTTTGTCTCCACACGCGCGCTCTTTACCGCTTTCCAACCTGCGTGGGTGTGGAAAAAGGCAACATTTACAAAATTTACCAGAGTCTATGTTTAATATAGAAATAACTCTTGGTCTTGGTCTTGTTGAAATAAAAATGTTAGTGTCACGACCTTCGGATTTTATAGTGAACATTGGCAATATTTAATGCTTTCTCAACTGTCTTAATATTTTTCATGGCACTTTTAAGTTTAATGTCACCTTCAATTTTCGAATTGCTTCCGTGATTTATCCTAATTTCATTTCCGCGTCCTACTGGGCAAATTGATTCAATAATTGGGCTAAAAACCTAAACTATTGACTCGAGTATCGAATCCATACCTTGAACTGGCTATATTTAGATCTTCAAAAACATATTTATGTGAATCAAAAATGGCTAAAGTGCCCAAGGGTATTGAATTTCACCTCGCCGATTAAGGCGGAATCTAACAACGGTGAGGCAAGGAATTCGTCATCGAGCCTTTTTAAATTACGAAATCATTTGATGAAGAACATTTGAGTCATTGGCGTTTTGTAAAACCGGTACTTTATTTAAACGAAAAATAATACCAAAAATAATAATACCGGTCAAGCGCTTGTTATACCCAAGTAATAAAATATTTTGAAGTACAGACGGAATTTAAGACTTTTTCTGTAAGGAATTGTAAATAAAACGACTTAAATTAAGAGCATTTGTTGGGAAAAAAATTCTTTAAAAAATGAAGTAATTACAAAAAGACAATATATATAATGAACACACAGATGAATACTACACGCCATCGTTTAATTTTATTTTTAAAAATAACCAGAATCTTAAGTACTTTTCAGTCTTTTCCCAAATAGAAAGGCTGGAATAAAGTGGTGGCCATGGTACAGCTTACCGATCCAGTTGAATGAACTGAAAACAATTCTTTTACCTCTCTTCCTGAATATAAAACGAAATGATCCGAAGTTGGCTTTTTTTCCCAAATCGCCTTATACCCCTGATAGAAAGTCTCTTGGAGAAAAGAACCCCAGCTTTGTGTTTTTTGTGATCTAAGTTGATACTGTGGTTTTACTCTTTGCACTATCATTAAACGTTTACAACAGACCTTCACGGTGGCATTAGGTTTGTTTATTGGTAGTGGCTATTGTGGCGTTTTTAACGAACCTTCACTGGTAAAAGGAGATTGGTGAATCGTTATGTCAAAAAAAAAAAAAAAAAATCTAGAGCAGACCCATTTTCCATTCTATCTAAAATAATTTGCTATCCTTCATGAGTTCGTTTGGATAATTTCCTTTAAAAAAAATTCAAAAGCCAAAAAGCCAAGTCACGAAATCGTTATAGATATCATAGCTGAATACCAGTATTTTTTTTGCGTTTTTCCGATATTTTTGTCTACAAGTCTACAGTAGAATTGAAGGAAGACATCAGGGATACAAGCAGGGCGAGGCCAAACGTCGATTCCTTACATTTATGTGATTTTGCAAAAACAGCTTTACTGTTGAATAAAGACAGTTTTATCGAAATTGACTATTCAGTTTTTCTTATAAGATTACCAATTTTGTAAATTTGACATGATACAACTGCTTGGAAACAAAAATAACTACTTCTTTTTTAACAAGTTCTCAATTACTACAACCTGATTTTCTTTGAGGACGAAAGTCTTAATTTTATGTTTCTTTAGTTTACTAAGTTTCGCCCTCTTAAAATAAAAGTAATCTTGCCTTGTTAGATAACGACAGGTCACACAAAACTTACCATTTTCAATTCCTAATAATGTGTAAAAAGATAAAGACGTTTTTCTTTTAAATATTAATATAAATACGTATGAAATTTTGTTTTCAAAGTCAAAAAATTTGTTGAACCAAATTTTGTAGACTGATTTTAAACCTTATAATAATCATAAACTGTTTGAGGCAAAAAGTCTCTATATTAAGCCTCTTTAATTTACTAATTGCCGCACTTTTAAAATAAAACTAATGTTAACTATAAGCAGGGCGTAGCAAGACAATGATTCCACCATTGAAAAATTTGCTCTTCTCAACTTCAAGTAAAATGCTAGTAGAATAAAGACTTTAAAAAAATTAATTTATATAAATGCATGAATTTTTCTTTGCGATGTCAAACGATCTATTTTATTCAAATTTTTAAGCCTGAATTTAACCTGACAGCATTACGATATTTTTGTGGCAAAACGTTTCTATTTTACGTTTCATTAGTTTATTACGTTTTGTCATTAAAAAAGACTAGAATAGATCATAGATCGAAAAGAAGAAAAATATTTTTATGTAAGGTTTCGGTTGAAATGAAAAAGTTGAAAAATGGCAAAAAGGAGGAAAATACGAAAGGTTGTAGGAGTGGATCAAAGTCACGATAGCGCAAATGGTAGAGCAGATGCGTATTTAGCCGAATATCGTGGGTTCGAATCCAGCTCGTGACACAGACTTTTTTATCTCAACCAAACCTTTCAAAAAGATTAATTAATTTTTATTTTTATTAATGTGCCGGAAAAGAGGCGTTAATAGGAGTGTTATTAGGGTTATAAGCAGATTGGGCTAAGATACTTTCTTTTGTTTATGTCTTACGCCGTGCCAAATTTTTTTTCCATAACAAATTTATTTATTATGTAGGCTCAGAGTTTCATTTTCGACATAATCATAGTTAATTTTTACCAATGCATTACTCATTAATGATGAGCGATTAT